CTTTTTTTTTCTTTTTTTTTTCTCTATAGCAACATGCAAAATAATACAGTGCGGAGCGAACGAATACTTGGAAACGATATACAGCTGCACCAGCCCGAGAATGTGTGGCAGCTACAGCAAACCCCTGCGAGCATCTAGATGCTGCATGAGGGCCAAAAACAGCCGATTGAAGGCCTTGCGCCGCTTTAAATCGACAACCATTTCATAGAAGTGATAGGGTACACCACCTTTGACCCGTTTTCTAGCCTGCTCTAGGAGTGGACAGGAACGGAGGAGATGTCTAACATTCCCTATTGGAGCTCCGCAATCACATTCTGGGGAGGCGATTACTCCACACCTGTGAAGATGCGCAGGAGTGGGAGCCCTACCAAAAACCACGGCACTGCCAGCGGGTGTAACTTCCCCTCGACTCCATAGCCTCGCATGCGAGGCACAGTAGAAGAAGTCATTGACGCAAGTGCCTAGACCGGCCCGTTTGTCTGACCACCACTTACGCAGTGCCAGACGCCCTGCTTCGGCCTGATAACGCCTAAGGGTCTTCACACTGATTTCCGTCTCCGCAGAGACTTCCATCATGGAGGCACCCTTGGCTGCCAATTCGTCGGCTCTGTCATTAGCGAACATACCACTGTGACCAGGCACCCAGTGGAAGGTAACCTTGTCCGGGATTTCAGCTGAGAGCAGAGTGATCTGTCTCGCTTTGTCCCGCCGAGCCACCGTAGATCTCGACGACAGGATCTTGAGTACTGCTTGAGAGTCCGTGAAGACTGCCCATTCTTCCTCTCCCTCCGTCGTCAGGATAACCCAGCGGACTGCCTCAAGAACTCCGAGGAGTTCACAGTCCGTAATAGTAGCGTAAGGAGAGAGTTTCTAGTAGTTGGAATGAACTTCTACACCCTTACGATATACCACCATTCCAGCACCGGTCTTACGGTCTTTGACCACCGAGCCATCGGTGAAGATGGCATTTCCGGAGAGGAGAGCCGCCTGCGCATAGCTCTTGGCTCTTTCTTTGTCCCGGATCGTAGTCTTGACCCAAGGTTGCCATGGTAAGGTAGGCAGACCCCGCCAGTGCTGGACCTTGTCCAGACTACCTTGACTCTCTGTTAGAGTCAGACCTTTGACCGCGAGTGTCTGGTCTAGGGCCCTCGCACAACCAAGTGCGGACAGCCTTACGGCTGCAATAGTCTTGAGCTCCAAGTCTGCTGGTAAGAGACCAGCCGCGACACAAAGAGCCGCGTTGGAGCAGTTCCGTGGAGCCTGGAGGGCTATCCTCGCTACCATGGCTGTGACCTGCAGTAATGCGGACTTTGCCGTGGCGGATTCAAGCCCTTCCTTCCAGGCCGCTACTGCGTGGGCAAGGGCCGGTAAGATCGCCACCATGTAGGTTTTGATTATTTTCTTACCGGTGATCCCTGCTCGCGCCCAACCGAGGTGCCTGAGACGACCAAGTTTGGCCTTGGCTTCGGACACCTTTAACCGAATATGGTGCTGGAAAGAGAGGCGGTGGTCGATCCAGACACCGAGCACCCGTACGACTTTAACAATGTCGATAGGTGTACCATCAAGGGACAAGGCATGGTTCCCGATGGTCCTGGGTAGGAGTGCCTGGCTTTTAGCCGGCTCGTAGGACACTCCCGCTTTGGCGGCCCAAGCCAGTAGTAGAGCTTCTGCTGACTGCCACCGTTTAACCAAGGACGGGCCAGTTCCACCGGATACCACAACCGTTGTATCATCCGCATAGAGGGTCAAGCTCACGCCTTTCGCCTCCAAATTTGCGAAGTCATCTACAAGCGGCAGGGTGGATAGAAGGAACAAGAAGGGGCCCAGGGCACTGCCCTGAGGCACCCCTCGTTGAAGTTCCAGAGTGGCCACGTCTGCACCATAGACAGCCGAAACACTCTGGGCCCTCAAGTAGCCTTCAACAATGCTCACTAGATAGCGTGGGACATCGTATTGGGCCAGGGTTGCCAGGATGTGGCTGTGTTTTACCGAGCTGAACGCGTTTTGCACGTCGAGTTGGACAAGTGCAATAGGCGCGCTCTTACTCCTCTTTCTGCCAGCCCTGAACGCTTCGACCACGCGCAGGACAGCAGAGTCAACCGATTTGCCTTTGCAGAATCCATGGACAATGGGAGAGTCCAATCGTTTCTGGATCTGCGGGCAAGAGGCAAGCCGTTCTATTATGAGACGTTCGAACAGCTTGCTACCTGAACCGACCAGGCAGATTGGCCTCCAGCCGTTAGGCTTGGTGGGGTCCCTGCCGGTCTTATGAATGAAGATCCCTTTGGATGACTTCCACCCATCGGGATATATACCAGTCTCAAGAGCTTCAGTGAACTGGGTACACCAGTTGTCCTTCAGCACCTCGAGAGTATCGAGAATGATGCCATTGGTCACATCATCCTTTCCAGGGGCCGCGCTTCTCCGTAGATCATCGGCCGCCTCTCTGAGCTCAGAGTACGTGACCGCCGGGATGGGA